TGTCACCGCTATTTCCCTCTTTTGGCTAGCTCTGTGCTGGACGCTCAGCCTGAAAACGAGCGCGAAAGCACGAAACAACAAAGAAGAGCGATGGTTGTAGATTCTCAGAAAACGTTGCGAGGGAGAAGGGAACGTAGAGAAAATCTGGTATTGTCGAATAAATTCGCCGTCTTACTCAACACAATCAGAGCGGATTTTATTCGTTATTCGTTTACACACTCGCGCGCATTCCGCATTGACCGAGAGATTCGCGGCGCATGGTCTCCTTAAACGTACGCGCGAGAGAGAGACGGGTGATACGATTTCGGTCGGCGCGCAGGCCGCGCAGTCTTCCGCACGCGAATATTACAATATCTAGGTGGACTTACGCGAGCGAACGCTGCTGCAGACAGCTTCGCCTTATATCCAAGTTTAATCTCGGGAAGGTCGTCGCCCAAGGTGGTCGAAATCAGGCGAACTATGTTTTGATCCTTGTTTACTGTGGGCGACGATTCGCAACGAGCCGGATTCCCTTGCTCGGATGGTGTCTCCCAATCTGATCACTCTGACGCGATAGCCGCCGTTGGACACCAACCTCAATCACCACACTTCCTCTTCACGATACTCGCTACACCTTACTCGATTTCTTCACGCACACGAAAATGACAAAAAAAGGAGATAAGAAGACAATGGAACCTTGAACGCATGCTATCCGCTTGCCGGTCTCACGTGTACTCTGACGAGCCCGCGTGTCGTAGCTATCTCTCTCTCTCTTTCTCGCTGCGCGGGTCTTTTGCGCATGGCGCGCTATTTCAAATTCGCTCATCTACCCCTTAACGAGCCTACTCGTTACAATATATTTAATATATTTTTATTGTCAAATAAATTATTTATTTTATTAAAAATACATAAGTATGGAAAAATAATAAACCCACGTCGTAATGCCTGTCCGAATTTTATTTGTTTGCATGACCGCAGAATGACAGCTTTCTGATGGCACGGCGTGCGTCGCTTTTCGTGCTTCCACTGTACCTCCATTATGATGTCACGCCGTGACGAGCACGCGCGTGCCAGACCGTGCCGGCACGCTGTGTTCTCTGGGTAGTCATTTTAACAAAAAGACGTACAAAAATTCATTTGATCATAACTTTTATAAAAATTAAAATTTTTTTAAAATATTTTGGGATATTATTTTTAACACATAAATCTTCGGAAATATGCAAAAAAAGGTATAAGATTCAAGAAGTCGATTTTAGGTGGTTCACTTGAGAAAGTTTGACTCAATATTAAATGGGTTTTAATCAATTTTGTAAGTTACTATCAAATGGTGATTGTTCTAATAACCATCGTACCATTATGGTTCAATCCTTGCAAGAACAAAATAACTAATAAATAAGCGAAAACAACAATAGAACCGTAATGAATTTTATAATAACTCTTAGAAGTTTATAGATTTTTTTAAATGTTTATAATAGTTAATTATTGAATTATTGTAATTTATAGTTATTATAATTTTCGCACTATCAAATAATCACCATGTATCGTTAAAATTAACTAGGTCTAGTACGTTTTTGTGTAAACCATAGCGTCACTCTTGCTCTCGAAAGTTGAAGGGATCTTCTACAGAGATCTCCTGTACCGACCTTGTTCGCGACTACTAACGCCGCGCCATCGCCGTGGCCGGCTCCAGCAGCCACCGGCAGCGATGAGCATTCGGTCACCCACCTCAAACTTCTTTTTCTCCTATTCGTAACGCATCTAGGTGTGTTGTACACTTGTGGCTGTTCTATCATTATACCGTGTCCGAATTCCGCGTTTTAAATTAGTTTTGTTATAAAGAGGGAAAATAAAAAAATTCTCAATTGTACAATATATAGCTATTATTTGGTCATCAGCATATTAAATTGATGTTAGCCTCGGGAAGTACTAATTATATACTCGTATTTTCAAGTACAATTCGATATGTAGCCTAGTAGTAAGAGCAAAAACCCAAAGAAAGAGGTATTTTAACAAATATAATTTATATTCTCATACTATTTTTTGTAGAATTAAGAAAAATGTAAACATGTCATAAATTGTCAAATCCTAATTAGTTTATTCTTATTTGAGCTCTGTAAGTCCATAGGTCATATGGTAAATTTAGTAAATTATAATTCTTGTTTGAATCATTTTAAATTCTTTATTATAGCTAGAACAGCTGACAATAAATGAGTCAATAAATATAAGATAATTATATCTAGAGCGTAATATCGAATTGAAATTTCCAGAGCAAATTGAACAGAATGTAAAGAGAATGTAAACTTCGGTCCAAACAGAGTCTAACACTGAAAATGTTGAAAGTAATTGTGAAACAGTGTCAAAGTATGTTTAATTATTAAAATTTTTTAGATTGATATTTATTGTTTTTAATTCTTTTTTAATATAGATATTACAGGTCTGAACCAAATGCTGAAGTGTCAAAATTTAATGCTGACGATAACAATGACAACGTCAACTCTTTATATTCTGTTCAATTTGCTCTGGAAATTTTAATTCAGCATTACGCTTTAGATATTGTCTAACTATAATAAAGAATTTAAAATGATTCAAATTTAAAATGATTTAAATTATAATGTTGAATTATAATTTACTAAATTTACCATATGACCTATGGACTTACAGAGCTCAAATAAGAATAAACTAATTAGGATTTGACAATTTATGACATGTTTACATTTTTCTTAATTCTACAAAAAATAGTATGAGAATGTAAATTATATTTGTTAAAATACCTCTTTCTTTGGGTTTTTGCTCTTACTACTAGGCTACATATCGAATTGTACTTGAAAATACGAGTATATAATTAGTACTTCCCGAGGCTAACATCAATTTAATGTGTTGATGACCAAACAATAGCTATATATTGTACAATTGAGAATTTACTTATTTTCCCTCTTTTAAACAAAACGAATTTTAAACGCAAAATTCGGACACAGTATAATGATAGAACAGCCACAAGTGTACAACAGACCTAGATGCGTTACGAATAGGAAAAAAAGAAGTTTAGCATAGGTGACCGAATGCTCATCGCTGGCCATCGGCAGTACCACTCTGCCTGCCGACTAGTAAGTTGCTCCTTTTGTACATACCTGCATTAAATAAAACCATCTTCTATTATTACAACGGCTGGTACGCCTTTTCATTTTTCGGATCGACTTCATCTACCCTGGACACCAGGATCAACAAAGTGACACTCCAAGAGCCATCTCTGGAAAAAAAGGTCCAAGTTAAGGAAGGGCCGCCCTATCTCTCTCTGAAAACTCATGCCCTCCAACCAATTACAAATACCAAATCGGATAAGAAACTTTTCAATCGTTATCACGTCATGGGCCGGAAGAAGGGGATTTCCACCCAACCACCCATTAGTTATAAAAAGCTCTGTATAAGACTGCGGGACCGGACACAGAAGTATAGACATTTTTTTGAGAAGAATCAGTAGTGCAGTGTAGTGCCAAGAAGTCAGCCAAAAACTCAGCCAAAAACTCAACCAAGAAGTCAACCAATCAAATCAAATAAAATGTAAATGAATTTTATATGTGGCTATCTTTTCTTTTCTTCCTTTCCTGTTCTTTTCTTTCTTTGTAGTTCCCCTTTCTTTGTCGAAATTCATTAAACGTGAGTCTGGCGAATTTCCATTAGAGTTCCTTAAGAACACATTAAGTGAGAGTCTGGTGTGTTCAATAATAACACTCAGTTATTATTTCCCTGTTAGTATAGTTTCTCGGCGCAACAATATTGCTCGTCCCGGCTTAAGCGTTGCACGCAAGCCAAATCAAAGCAATCTTGAGCTTATGCTTACTCCAAGTATACCTGAGAGTGACCCCGACGTCACATATATAAATTTTAATACGCTGTGCCATTACCTCTTTTTCAAATAGATGTTACACCTTTCTTGTCTGCTTTCAAAACATGAAGTAAGTGCAGAATTATCCTTACTCCAAACATTCTATAACAGAAAAGTACATTTTTTCATTTTGCTAAGCAAATGTCAGTTTGCGCATGCGACATAAGGCTTATTAACCCATGAACGACCAAAGAGGTGAGATTTTGGACATATTTTTGATCGCAAAATTCATTTATAAAACGAAACAATAAATTGATCCAGGGTACCACACCTTATGTTTTTGGGTGTGCTGAATCTAAATCCGGGCTCAAAATTCAAAAATTTTGCTTACAGAATTAAATATGGCCGATTTTTTATAAAAAAATAGGGAAATTTTGAAAAAAAAAAATTTTTTTGAATTTTTTTTCTACCATAACACATGTCAATATCGAAATATTTCTTCAACCATGAGTGCACAAAATTGTTGAACTTTAACAGAATATTTTTATATTCAAAATTTTTTTTCCAAAATGGCGGAAAAAATGCCAAAATCTGGAAAAAAAATACGTTTTAGGTTACTATTTTTTTTCTCAAAAACTATGAGGTTCGGGAAAAAACTTTATATTACAAAATGACTTATAATTTGTCAAGAAAAACTCTGACATTTTTTGAAATTTTTTTTTAATTTTTCAAAAAATTACAGAATTGAAAATTTCACAAAAATTTCGAAAAATTCTGTAAAAATTAAAGAGTATTCTTTGACTAATTCTAAGACATATTTGATCTTATAAATTTTTCCCGAAAGCCTATAGTTTTCGAGAAAAAAATTCTCAAACACATGTGGAAATTCTATTCAACCGTTTCAACTTTTGGAATTTCATAAGATAAGTTAGGGTGCAAATGTACGGGATTTCCATTGTCCATGAGGTTGGAGGAAAAAATCGTATTACCTGAGTATTACCTGAGTGCTCATAACATTTATATTTAGATTTTACTCTCAGCGTAGCCCACTCTTCTCTTAGAAAAGTTTTACCAAAATCTATTTGGGCAGATCAATTGAAGTCGATAAATATAACGTGATTTTTCAAATCAAAAGTTATTCAAATTCATCCTTTGAAATTAGGACGATTTTCTTAACACTTTCGTGTTCATACTAGCAATGCCTCGAAAAAGATCGAGAAGTGCTGTTTCTTCTGAATCTGGAAGTGAATCTGAATCATGCACCACAGACGATAATGAAAATTGCATGATACCCAATGCAGAATATTCTGGTTCTTCAGATTCTGAAAATGATTCAGATAGTGATTCAGATAATTACCGTGATGAAAAAATACCGAAAGCTACTTACAAGAGAGTTTCAAAAAGTTATCAAGCTGATCAAGCTAAGCTTGAAAAAGATTATAAATTTGATTGGGTAGTTGGTGAAAAGATATATTCTGATATAATTGAAGATAAAATATTATTTCCTAGATCTATAAAAGAAAAAATTAGAAAATGTGATCCAAGAGAACTGTTTGAACATTTTTTTCTATTGAAATGAAAAATTATATTATCGATGCATGTAAGGAAAATCATTTTGACTTATCATTAGTCGATCTAAATACATTCATTGGAATCATTATGACAAGTTCATTCAATAAACGAAAATCTTAAAGAGATTATTGGTCAACTGACCCTTTTTTATCTTGTGAAAAAATTTTTTCAGCAATGTCACGATCTTATTTTGAAATGATAAAGTCTAAATTGAAATACTCAAAGGCCAAAGATAAAGATCCACAAGATAAGGCTTGGCGAGTTCGTGCTTTGTTGAAACTGTTTCAAAAGACTATTCTGAAGTTTGGCTTTTGGAAATCAGCTTTATCAGTGGATGAAATGATGGCTAAATCGTATGCTAGAACGTGTTTGAAACAGTTTATACGAGAAAAACCTACACGATTCGGCCTTAAATTTTGGGATTTGTGCGCTGCTAATGGATACTTATTCAATATAGATTTATACTGTGGAAAAAACTCTGTAATAGGAGATAAGTTATCTAAATGCGCTTTAGGATCTCGCGTGGTTTTACATTTATTGAAGCCTTTTTTTAAATTGACTTCTGATGCAAAAATTCCTTTTTATCATCTTTATTTCGACAATTACTTTACAAATTTAGATCTTGTTGTGCATTTAAACCGATTAAAATTGAAATGTACTGGAACTGTTAGAGACAATCGTGTCCCAGTAAAAAATGTCATTCATAAAAAGGTTCCACGTGGAACATATGCAGTAAAGCATGAAAAAAACTCTGGAATAAATTACATCACGATTATGGATTCAAAGCCAGTATTAATACTATCTACAGCTGCAGGGGTCACTCCATTATCATCAGCAAAGAGATACAATTCGATCGAAAAAGAAAAAGTCGATATACCAGTTCCGCAAGCTTTTCACCTTTATAATTAGTCCATGGGTGGAGTTGATGTACACGACGGTCACTGTAACAATTTGTTGCCAAGTATTCGTTTAAAGAAGTGGACGTGGGTGGTTTTCATTAGACTTATCAAGCAGCAATTACAAATGCAGTTGTAATATTCAATGCTGCTGATGATAGTAAAAAAAAGTTGGAACTAAAGAATTTGCAATGTCAATAGCGAAAAGTTACATTCATGATGCTGAAAAAAATAAGGAAAAGCATACAACAATTCGAAAAAAGAAACAGAACAAGTGTTCCATTTGTCCAATAAGAACATATGTGTACTGCGAGAAGTGCAATTTGTTTTTTTGCAGTGCATGCATGAAAGCAAAGCATGTCTGATTACAGTGAGAGGCCAGGGAACTCACTATAAAAAAGCACCTCGTAGAGTGAGAGGCGAGGGGACTCACTATAAAAAAGCACCCCGAGGAGTGAGAGGCAAGGGGACTCACTATAAACAAGCACCTCGAAGGAGACATGATTTTACTACGTCCACGCTGTTATCTCTGGGTTACGCTAAGAGTAAAATATAAATATAAACTGAAAGTAGTTACACTTTAGAGGTACTTACGCAATACTTTATTTAGAACCTCTTGATAAATTAAACTTCGGTACGTTTATACCCCAACTTATCTTATGAAATTCCAAAAGTTGAAACGGTTGAATAGAATTTCCATAATTGTTTGAGAATTTTTTTCTCGAAAACTATAGGCTTTCGGGAAAAATTTATAAGAGCAAAAATGTCTTACAATTAGTCAAAGAATACTCTCTAATTTTTCCAGAATTTTTCGAAATTTTTTAAAAATTTTTAATTCTGTTATTTTTTGAAAAATTAAAAAAAATTTTCAAGAAATTTTCAAAAATTTTAGTGTTCCTTGACAAATTATAAGACAATTTTGTTATATAAAACTTTTTCATTAACCTCATAGTTTTTGAGAAAAAAATAGTAACCTAAAACGCATTTTTTTCCAGATATTGGCATTTTTTCCGCCATTTTGGAAAAAAAACTTTGAATATAAAAATATTCTGTTAAAGTTCAACAATTTTGTGCACTCATGGTTGAAGAAATATTTCGATATTGACATGTGTTATGGTAGAAAAAAAATTCTAAAAAATTTTTTTTTTCAAAATTTCCCTATTTTTTTATAAAAAATCGGCCATATTTAATTCTGTAAACAAAATTTTTGAATTTTGAGCCCGTATTTAGATTCAGCACACCCAAAAACATAAGGTATGGTACCCTGGATCAATTTATTGTTTCGTTTTACAAATGAATTTTGCGATCAAAAATATGTCCAAAAACTGATCTCTTTGGTCGTTAATGGGTTAATTGTAAAACAATAATTTAAATTATCGCAAAACTAAGGCCATTATTGAATAGATAAAAAATTTTTCTATACATTTCAAATGAGGGTGATGGTTTCGTTGCCTCAGAATTGAGAAAAAACCAATAGTTTCTGAGAAAAAAAAAATTTGAAAATTCACCAGCACAAAGAAATATTTTTAACAACTTGGTAACTAAAGAACGTAGTATTTTTTAAGAATGGATTCATAATGTATACATCATGCCAAATTTTTTAGCATATAGCATATTACGTTTCCTAATATACTCGTAAGTGTGCCAGGGTCATGGAGGTCTCTGAGCGGCAATGTTTTCTGAGCGCTTTCAGTGTACACGATAAAAAAAGTCTTTTTGAATTCTCTGATTGCTTCTTTATTTTATTACTCCTGCCCAAAGATAATACCATTCCATCCAATATGCTGGGTCACCAATAAAGTAATATCCATTTTTGCATATATTTTTACATACAGGGTACAAATCTAAAGTTGTGAACTCGCGGGCATCAGTCTTTATTTTTGTTAAAATATACATCTTTGTCAGCTCTAGCTATAATTAATATTTTTATATGTCATCTATCTATAGTGCCAATAATACTATTCAAACTTCCAAGTACACCAGTGAGTATTTCAAATTGCTCTGTAATTTCTCTTAGTTTATTTTCATTTGAAGGCAATTGTATTGCATTCTGACAAACATCACTCAACAATCCGCTAGTGACTCGATATAAGCAAACTTTAATTATTAATTTTGACACTACAAATCGTTTTGCTATATTTGTATAATTCTCTGGCATTGTCAAAACATAAATATCTATTGCTAAACATTTTTCAGAGTACACAGAAACTACCTATACTAGCGTATAATAATTTTTCATGTATCATTACGAAATGAGATTTGGGCATTCGAAAATCTTAATAAAATTTTCTTTCAGACATATATGTCAACAACTCACAAAAATTATTAAATGTTGCATATTGAGTTATTAGGTTTTTATTCATCATCTGATCTGGAAAGTATCAAAAGAAAATATTAAGTTAATTCAAGATCAATGTTTTTATTATTCTTATTGTTATATTTATACAAACTTTAAAAATTAATTTTTCTTTATAATGGTGTAGTAGTATTACGGTTACTGAGAAATGTGATATTATTCGGGTATAAACATGCTGTTATTAAATTGATTAACATTCCAACCATGTAAAACTAATTTGGTGTAAAGCGAATATAAGAAAAATTAATTTTGATGCAACTATAGTTCCTGCAATTTTATCACTGAACAACAACGTGTGTACGATAAATTGAACATTGTTTATCGAATAAAACATGTGTGCACTTATATATATATATATTTTAAATCATTTATATATTTTAAATGGTGCACAATATATTGTACTTTGCCTAGAATAAAACCTCGGTGCACGATAAGTTATGCACAGTCTGGAATAAATAACCTTTGTGCACGACAGATTGTACATTGTTTTTTGCATAAAACTTTGGTGCATAATCATTTGCGTTTATGTTAAGAAAGAAGATAATATATCCCATAGATGTACAGTAAATTGTACACAAACTCTCAGAGCAAGATGTTAGTGCACGACAAATATTTTTATGTGCATGGTATATTTGTGTAAAAAAACCAACGCTTATTACATCATTTTTTTAAGAAGTACACGAGTATCAGTTTACGATTCAAAAACCTTTATTGGTTCATCTTAATAATTTTGTGCATGATACAGTCGTGCAAATTCACCTCTAATTTAAAGAACAAGTAATTATATGCTGTGTACAAAATAGTTCAGATATTCGTTTATGCATCATTAATATATGTATAATATTTATGTATATGAATACTATCTAGAATAATTTAGCAAGCCGACGATTGCGCACATAATTATTTTACACATAAACTATTGTTTACAGTAATATATGGCGTGAATCAGCGTAAACGCTTATGTCACTGTGCAATAGTTCATGTATAAAATAATTATGTACACAATCGTCGGTTTGTTAAAATAATTTATAGTGTCCGTGTGGTTTTTACATAGATTTCATTATGAATCAAATGATGAATAAAAAGTATAATAAAAATAGTAAGGAAGTTACAAACAATATACCTAATGCTACGATAAGACGAGAATTATTATTAACGTTCAAGTTAAAATATCTTTAATAATATAAGTTGTCATGCATTTGTTGAGGTAGAAAAAGAGAGAAAAAGAGAGAGAGAGAGAGAGAGAGAAAGAGAGGGAGTGAACAAGAGAGAGGGGGGGGAGAGAGTAACAAGAATGGGGCAGAAAAGTGAAAGTGAAACCTGAACAAAGTATTAAGTCATTTAGCTATTATTTGCGTCAGAGCGTAAATGTTAATATAGTTCTAGAGCTACGTGCAGTGTACAGTAATCGCTTGCAGCATTTTCATTTGCAATCGCCTCATAATCTAAAACGAACGGCTGTTGAAAAGAAGCTAGGACATATTAGCTTATTATTTTTCGCGTGCTTCTTTATTTTAAGAACTATTTTATGAATGGCCGGTGATTGTACATTTCGAAAAAAGCTTCCTACTCAAAGTTTCTCATAGTATTGAACGTCGTTTAACACTTATATGAATATGAACATGAACTTCGTTCTCTTACATTAGTAAAACTCAAAATAAAATGTACTTGAAGCTAGAAGTAAAATCCCAGATTTTTTGTTGATATTTAATGGTTTTTATAATTTTTAGCATTTTTAAATTATGTTATATAAATTAATATAATTTAATAATAAATCTAATTTTATTTCAATCGACAGTATATACATTGTACACTCGGCGTGGGTTGGATCTCGTAGAATTATCTAAATATTGGCATGGTGTCGATTTTCCACTAGGTGTAAAAATTATACATTGAGCGATCTTTTCGACTTGTATTCTTTATGCTCATTTGCAATTGTGGCTTTGTCGGGAAAGAAAGGTTTTTGTAAAAATTCTAGACAAATAATCGAAATAATTAATAAAAGTCCTACGTATCCAGAATCTTCTCAAATATGTTCCAAAATTAAATCTCTACAGCGAAAACTTACGATATATAAGATTCAAATCGGGTAAATGAATTAATGTTTTACAATCATAATAACACATAAGTGTGACACGGCAATTTATTTGCCACATTTTAATCTCATGTATGATAAAAATTATTACTGATGAGATTCACTTTTGGAACATATTTGGAAAAATTCCGAATAATCCATATCCAGAAGTTTTACAAAATTCCTTCTTTACCAATGAAGTCGACATTGTGTACAAGTGGACATGAAGAATCTAAGTCGAGACGAAAGCTCGATATCAAATTTTTGCACGTAGCCGAAAATCGACACCATGCCAATTTTTGAAAAATTTCATGAGATCTAACCCACCTCGATCATACATATAGATAGTTTACAATGTACATTGACACTTTAGACATTTTTAAAAACTCTAAGATAGCCTAATATTATTTTTAAAACATATAATATTTGTCTTTTATGTATTTTTTACGAACAGTATGCGCCTATTTGTTGTACTAATCTCGTCAAGCGCACTTCGCGCGCTCATATTTCATGCTTGAATTTAGTAATATTCAGTTTAATCTTCGGATCAAAATTATTATAAGCCAAATAAAAGAATTTCTAC